ATATATATATATGTATAGAAGGTCAATACTGAATGAATGAGGAAATTAATAAAACAATACTGTAAAGCTTTGTCCAAATTATCAAATTTCCTTCATGACAAAAATCTATAGTATGCCCATATATTATAGTCAGCATGTGCCTATATATGGTCATGATGTGATGTCGTCAAGACCATATTTAGGCATGTCACATGTTTTTGTCACAAAAAAATGATATTCTGGACAGGGGTTTACTGAGAAGGCACACACCAAGTTTGTTAAGTTGGTCTGATAGTACAACGATATATACAAAATTAATTCGAGCAATCATGCTACTATAGTATATTTCAAACTTTATTTGTTCAGGAATGTCTAGTCATGTGAATTCATTGTCTCTTCTAGCCAGAGAAATGTGGTTGGAATGGAAAGCCTAAGGGTTTTACTTACATAGACAAAATTCAGCTGTATTAAATGTTTTAAAAGCTTGTACTGTACATTAATACTGAGAAGAGCCTCAATTGATATTTGTAATCTTCTGGCTGTTATCAGGTTTCTCAATGTTATATACATGTCGGAGGATGTGATTAAATCAATTGATTTTGAGATGTCCCACCTGCCTATCAAAGGTTCTTATCCTCTGTCAAAGTAACAATGTTGTTTTCTTTTATCATTTATTTCTATTAATAATATCACTTATAAAATAATCTTGTAATAAGAATATGATATCATTTATAAAGTACTCTTGTACATGTACAATATACAACATTTCAAATCTGACCTAAAAGAATAATTTTAAATCATGTATGATATAGTACATTCTAATGATGCATTTTTCTGTAAATGTAAGCCAATCATAGAATGGCCAACACAGGATGTTTATATTTTCTCAATAATCAAATTTTATTTAACAAAAACATGTGGCATGCTTAATATAGTCACGATGACATCACATCATGACCACATATATAGGTACATCATGACCATATATAGGCACATCATAACTATATATGGGCATACAAGAGGTTTTTTTTAATTTGATAGTCTGGATAGAGCTTAAGGATGTCCACATTTTATCCGTATGAACACAGATGAATGAACTCAGACCAAACATAATTATTTTGTCTCATGGCAGGTTGAGAACATCTTAACATTACTTTATTCATTAATTCGGGCTCACCTCCAATGTCTCGTGGGACTGCGACTTTAATTAAACAAGCTGTGTAAATAGCGGTTGCCAGCATTCAACTCATTGGTTGTTATCGTTTGTCGTGTCTGAAAACATAGCTTTAAATACCTTGCATTAAAATCCATATTGATTTCACACTCTTTGTTATCTTAAGGGAGTTGAATGTTAGGGATCAAATATACCTTGATAAGTTACATTATGGGTTTTTTCAAATCTTGTGTTTGATTTTAATGTATTTTTAGGCATAAGACAGTGTTTGTGTCAGTGTATATTAAAACCAGTCTCTCAGAGGAAAAAAATGTTTTGATATGTTGTACAACTGATTTCACAAAAACCATATTTGATGAAAAGCTTGGGAGCAGCTGTTAATGAGAAACAGATTTTTTAATCTTTAAAATACTGGGGGGAAAGTGGGAAAAAATGGTGGTTACACCCCTTTTCCCCCAGTTTTTAAATACTGTATTCAAATTCTAATTAAGCACTCCAAAGTTCTTCATCAAATATGCTTTTTGTGTCTTGTTGTAGAACATATCAAAACATATCCTCTGGAGCCTAGCTTTAACCACAATTTGATTTAATTGGCAAAATTTGTGTGTGTACTGTTTTAACTCTTAAATTTAATAAAGCTTTTTGTCCATCTTATTTTTAATTTTGCAGGCGAACATTACTGATTGCAAGAGGGCTTGCGGACCAGGCTATAGAGGCCCAGGCCTGCTACAGTCTTGGTAACACATTCACGTTGTTGAGAGACTTCGAGCAGGCAGTTGAGTACCACATGAGGCATCTGCATATCGCTCAACATGTAAATGACAGGTACAATGATAGCTATCTGGCTAACTTATGTCAAACAAATGGCTTCTGAAATTCCCTTTTCAAATTTTAACTAATGATCTCCATCTTTGATTTGTTGTTCTTTTCTTGCTGATTTATGATGGAATTTTAACATCTTTTATTTTTTCCAATTTTTCAATTCCAACTAATCGTAAAAATGATTCTATTTACTTATTTATATTTAGAGCTAAAAAATCTAAAAATCCCTTGAAATAACCCATTTAGTATATATCATCATTATCATCGTTATCTTTGCATCATCCTGCAATCAAGATCACATTATCATCATCTTGATTGGATTTATTTAGTGTGAAGAAATACACCACAGATAAGCAACAGAAATCTTAAACTTTTTTCAATGGGGTCCTTCTGGTAGTAATATTTTAAGAGTGTACTGCTTTCTCTAACTTGCACATAAACCATATTGCACAAGAAACCAACAGCTTAAATGTCTCATTTGAAAGAAAGTGCCCTCTTGAAACTTGTGTTTCAACACAGCTCAAACACAATTACAGCAGCGGAAGAAATTGAACTCTGACCTAGGCGATGTAAAGATATCCACGGTCTTATCCAGATCAACATCATCGATCATCATATAATTATAATCTTGATAATAATAACATCATCGTCATTATCTAATTATATAATCTACATCAATAATATGATTATAGTCACATTTATGCAAACAGCATTGTTGTCATCATCATCATTGTCAAAATCGTCTTTATCATTATAGTTGCCACCATCTTCATTATCATCATCATCATCATCATCATCATCAGTTTTAGTCTAGTATTTGGAATATCATCATTGGTTCCAAGTTGGAAGAAATCCCTTCGGGAGATCTGGTTAAGTGAGCTTTCTTAACACACTTAGGCTATGTTCTCACACGGCAGCTAACGGTTAGCAGGATCCGGATCCTGCTAACCGTTAGCTGCCGTGCGTCCATGCGAGAAAATCCCAATCCGGATACCAACAATATGACGATCGAATCACTGGCCAATAAGAAACTGGAAATGGTAAACGCGTATGTGTGATTGGTTGATGATAGAAACGCCCTTAACTTGCTAACCGATAGCGCTTGCTAACCGTTAGCGCATCCGGATACCCCTAACCGATCGGGCGTGCTAACGGTTAGCTCCCGATCCGGATACTAGGGCTCTCGTGAGAACCAGGCTTCAATTATATTTTGCTGCGCATGTGATAATACCCACAGGGGTTTAGCCAGAAAAACTAAATAGGCCGTCCAAAATGGAAGCCAGTGGGCATGGCCCTCAGCCGATGGGTGGGCCACTCAGGCCATGCCCCTCCCAAACGTTTTTTTAAAAAATTGAAAATTAAGATCTTTAGAGAGCATTAAAAGGTGTTTAAATGTTGGAATTTTATCTTCAAAGGAATGGTGTTGAATTAGCTATCACAAAGATATTTCAGTTATAGACATAAATTGCCATCCATTTTCCAGCGGGGTATAAATGTTTTTAACACGATGCGGGTTGTGTAAGTGAACTTTTCACTGGGTAGGCAATGGTTAAGCCTTACATTTTTGGGAATCCCCACCGAATATTGGTATGAAAACAACGTACATTCAATCAATAATGGTTGATTTTATCAAACATAAATATGATTTAGCTTTAGTTTAATGTAACATTCGATAGATTTGAAGAATATAAAGAATTTGGTAGACAAGGCTGATTAGGCCAAGCTGTAACAGTAAAAGTGGCCGTCCTAAATAATTGTTGGCCATCCAAAAGACAGCCGGACGGCTTGCAGGCTAAGCCTATGGATACCCATCAGCACTGACTTCAGTGGGACAATTGATAATATATAGTAAAAACATACAAATAATATGAATTTGTGGGTTATTATTTTCTGAGAGATTCTTGATTCCCTGAGGGAGGCTCTCCATATTTCCGGGAGACTCCAACGATTTCCAGGAGACTTGGGACCCCTGTATTATTTCATTATGGTGGTGCACTTGGAATTTTTTCATTCAAGGGTGTCAAGAAAAATGTTGGTAGGCTGTCCTTGTAAATGAGTTCATTATGGGATTGTTCCCAGAACAAAACTTGCTATATTTTCTGGGATTTTTCTTTCAAGCAATGGCCCTCAGAACGTATTCTCAAATATTTTGTAAGCAGTTTGAATAAAGAAAACAAATTTAGTATTTTCCAAATTGTACTTGCATATAAATGACTATAGTATTTATTTTGCAGTTTTAAAAAGGCAGTGACTATTGTTACACAATTCATAAATAAACACCAAATCTCTTAAATCCAATCCATACAAACAATAACATCCAATCACAATTTAGTCATTTTTTTAAGACTGGTGTAACAATAGACACTACATTTAAGAAAAATCAGATTACATTATGTTATAAATAGTTTCTTGTTGCATTCAAAGTATTATTGACATACTAATTCAATCTAAGTTACGTCAGTAGTTTTACGACTCCTTAACAAGATACAGATATCATCATCACTTTGTAAATATCAACCAATGAATTACTTATGTAGTTGCATTAAAATTTTAGATTATAAAGAATTAGAGGGAAAGATAAGAGACTGTTATGTCAATATCTAGATGTACGCCACCAGGGATCCTTCGAGAAAAATCATAATCTGATTATTTGAGCCATTTGAGCCAACTAATACAGCATACTAAAGAGGTTGATTGAGTAGTTTAGTTAATGTGACGTTATTAAGCAAGCATTTCGGCCCACACACTGAAAAAAAAAAACCTCTGGTATTTATAAACTAAATGTTTACTTTTAAGTATCACTTGATGTAGGGTATTATCTCTCTAAAGGGTAGATCTGCCTAGTGTGAGGGCAGTATACTAGTAATGTGTAGATCTCTTACATCAGTCTAGTTGAATAGTAAATGTGACCGGCTCTGGCAAAACCAGCCATTGTACACAACAGTGTTTATTTAATGGAAATTGGTTGAGTATTTTCATTTCAAGGTGAACACACCTTGTGACATCTTTGGTGAAGGGTGGATTTTTAGGCCTTTTATGGTATTCTTCTCGGCTGTGGTCCTTCCCTTGAATCGATAAAAATAATTTTTTTTTTATTCTACATTTCATATGCCAATATTTTATTTACCTTACAGTGCAACTATGTAATATTTATGATAATAATGTTACATAATACCACTTGTGGAATATGTTAATTTAAAGTCGAAATGAAAATAACAGAACAGAAACAACAATTATGTACTCTATTATTTTAATGAGTACTTTCGTTTTTATATCAACTTTTATTCATAAAGATGAATAGTGTCAGATAAGAATATATTCTTTATTTTACAAATCTCATAATTTCTGTTTATTTTCCTTTGTCATTGCAGAGTTGGAGAAGGACGTGCATACTGGAGTTTAGGCAACGCATACACAGCTTTAAAAAAATATGAGAAAGCAATTCAGTATGCATCATTCCATTTGGAAATTTCCAAAGAGGTAGAGCTTCTATTTTCTTCTTCTGCTAAAAAACTGCTTTAAACATACTGACGATTGTACGGGGGTTGGGGGTGGTCTATGTATGATAAAGTGTGGTTGTATATATATTGGGGGGTTTTTTTTAGTTTATATTTCTGTTATTTCTTTTTAAAAAATATTTCAAATAGAAATACTTGTCTGGTTCACCTTTTAAGGTACATTACCAAAGATGTAACTTATATAACTGTTTAAAAATTAGTTATTTATGTAGGCTAATGCGATATACACGAATACAAGTATATAAAAGCCAATACTCAATGGAGGCCCCCAACAGCACGGTAGATGAATGGATGCAAAAGCACCATATAAAAGATTTTTAAGTTGCAGAACCAACATTATAATCTTATAAACACACTCAGGCTTCCTAATGGTTAACAGAGTCCTATTTAATCTTTGAAATGTCAACCAAGTTTGCCATGAAAATCATGTTCAGAAATGTGTGACCTATTTTTATTTTTAATTGGTAGTATTTCCAAGTTTTAGTGAGATGAGCATGTGTATTGTACATTCTAATGAATAGTCAACATGTCTAGGTTTATGATTAGGCCACTAATCGCATGGATGGAAAGCTTATAAGATGTTTACATACCGTAACCAATAGGCACAGAAGCATGAATCTTGACTTAATTCAAGGTTCCGAGACAAGGTGTGGTTTATTCTTATAAACATACTTGGCATTTGTGTTTCTTGTACAAATACATATAAATCACATTAATGGTTATGTGTAGGTGAATCTTCAGTTGTTGGATGCTCTTTAATTGCCTTAGCAGGCATGTGGTGCGTGTCTAATGTCTCCCTAGCTCAGAATTCCTCACAGAGTGATACTTTATTGAAGATGAAATAAAAACATAATTAACAAAGTTGTTGACCATGCCTGACCAACACAAAATGTAGGGTCAGCAGTTTTGTTAGTTGGTGGCAGGGTTGATTGGACAAAAATATTGTTAAATCCAACTAGGCCAAATGGATTGGTCTTTTTAACTCTATTAAACACATAAAATTCTAATTAACACGTTTCTGCTCAGTAAACCCTAAAATACCATGTTTTTAACTGTTTAAATTGTTGCCTCTGTTATATATTATGTAATATGTAGAATCATCTTGTTCCAAGCTGTCTTGATTTTCTACAAGATTTGACCAGTATTTATTGATCAGTTTTTTGACAATTAATTCATAATTCACATTATTAAGTTCACTCATGGGATAAGTTCACTCATGGGATAAGTTCATTTGTCCCAACTCAGTAACCACTCATATAGGGCCTTTTTGATCTGACAAAATGCTTTACCTATGAGGCTTACAATCTTCCTATGTTATGGATGGTTATTTCATAATTATTTATTGTGGCATCATTTAATTTTAGGTCGGCGATAAAACTGGGGAAATCATTGCTCAGATGAATTTAAGTGATCTCACAAGACTGGTAGGAAATGGGTAAGTGTCTCATCGTCATGGTTGATAGGAGAATAATGATTTTTAGCCTTAAATAGGGAAGGGGGAAAAGGTGATGGTGGAGTATGATGAATAGGAAAGGGGAATATACATAGTAAATCTACACAAACTATCTCCTGCCCCATCATAGTTGATGGGAGAATAATGATTCTCATTGATAATAGTGGTAATAGTAAATGGTAAAAGCAATAATAGTTAATGATAGTGAAAGTGAATGCTATGTAAAACTCTATGAGTAATCAATTGTGATCCTTGATTCTTTATAACCATGTTACTTTTATGAATTTTAAGAAGGAAGTTATTTTGGTACCAGGATTGAACTCATAGTCTTGTGATTGGCATGCAATCATCTTAACCAATAACAAATATTCACACGACACACTGTATTATGTTAATATAGCGCAAGTCATGGAGACATTGAAGCATCTAAGAAAGAATTACTCAGTTAAAAGTATAATAAAATCTGTTTAAAATTAAGAATTCCTGGCAATGTCTACTCAGTTGCACTTGCCTTATATGAACTGGGTAATTTTAACAGGAGAATGTTGTGCAGGTTTTTTCACACTGCATTTTTTTTTTGTCAACGTGACCAATGGTTAGTTTGATCAAAATTAATTCAATGTGAACTCAACTTAAGACAGAAAAAGTTATTATCATGATTTTGCGTCCCCAACTTTTAAATTGCAATTTAATTAACATTAAAAATTTTAATATGTTCGTCAGCAACATAAGCAGTTTTCCATCCCTGTCTGGGATGGAAACGCTAGCTGTTCCCAGGGGCAAACATTTAACCATGAATTTAGCATTCACTACTAATTTCATATAAGATCAATAACAACAATAACAGTACTCATTCTTGTGTTGAGTTGGCGTACCTAAAGTGTAACTGCCGCTCATCAATACAACACACGTAAGGCGTGAACTTGAAACCGTTAGATATTTGCACTTTTTTTGTCAGCTTGGGAATAAGGATTTGATTGGCTGGTGTGTTATGCGGCATGGGAAACTAAAAAAAAAGAAAACAAGTTACAAAGTAATTATACTTATGTTAATTGGTTGCATTTTAAAGATTACAAATCAGGAATTATATGTGAGGTAATTTTTCATAACAAAGGTGTGATTACAATGATATTATTTAAAATTAATCTCTGATTACCAAAGTAACTTTTGGTAATGGTGTTCTATATCCCTTTTAAAAGCTCCTTTCAAATCCATAAATCTCTTCAAACAGGCTCAAACCATACTCATTTGCAAAGCAGAAGCCATAATTATTTAATTAATTATTTTGCTAATTTGAAAATGCATTTCCCTTTTTTATGATGGGCACATGCAAATTATATCAGTTTCAAATTATCTGGTTGTTTTTAACAGTTGTCTCCCTTTGTTTTTAAATACCAAAACAGTTTTAGGAATGAAGAGAGAAATGGAAGTAGCATCTGTAGCAGAGAAGGTGAGTGCTTAATCCTGTGAAGTTTTTATTTCAATAGTTATAATAGAGTTTTGTTTTATCATCAGCAAATCCTACTGAATTTATGTACTGTATCCACTTTGCTCCCATTATCAGACAAGGTGGTTATTTTGACCTAATTTATTTCAAATAAATATTCACAAACGATTTTTTACCATACAGGTGTATGTCTTTTTTAAGTGCATCATACATGTTAAATACTTACAAAGATAGATACATAGAAATTTATATTATTAATAATTCTACATCTTCATTTATTTTTGGATATTCCAGTTTCTCTGTTGGTTATTTTCTGATGTCTGGCTTGCTATGGGTATCTTATTTCATTCTCTTTTCCTGTGTTACTTATTGCCCCTACGGCTCTTTCAAGCATGATTATTTTCTACTACATGTTGAGGCTGTAATCTTATTTATTACCTGCCGGTCGATATAACTTATTGGAATTTGATTTCCAAACTGCAGACATGCAGAAATTTTATATTGGCATTCTTATTAAGGTCTGTTTCTACTATAATAATATCGCAACACCTGTTTTAGCAAGAGCAGGGGTAGATACAATAATAACTGTGTAAATTACACTCTACTTCACTCAGTTTATAAGCTTATGACACTTTGTTTTATTGACCAATCAGATAATGTGATTCCATTTCAAAAATCCAACTGTAAAAAAATGACCACTGAATGCAATCCTTTAATTGTACACTGAATCTGATACTGATATCACATAAGCTTGCTTTTTGTGTATAGGTTTTTTCCCTTCTGTTACAGTTTTTTGTCACCCATTTTTTAAGCTAATTGTTTGAATATGAGTTAAAACTAGTTACCAGAAGCTGTTCAACATATGGCCAGTGAATCATCTGGGAATTCGCATCAATATAGTCCATGTTGAACCTACAAACATATGGTGAATTATGATACATATATTTCCCTCTTTGTAATTTCTGCACCTAGGTATGTATGTGAATGATGTTGAGGTTTTTTGTTCTAAGGATACCAAGAAGAGCATGTGGTTAAACATCCTGTCTTATCACTCCAGTAGAATATTTAGGCTATAATTTTATAGGTCCTTTTCTGTTAATCAATTACAACAAAATACTAAATTTATTTTAGTTCAATACTAACAGTAGGTATAAGCTTAGCTGAGCAATGGTTGGAAAGAGCTATAATAACCAGACATTTACTAAATTGTGGTAATTTAAAGCAAATAAGAACTAAATCTTGAAAATACTTTTCCAAAATTATTTTAATTGCGTGGATAATACATCAAAATTTGCACAGAAAATTACCAGGAAAATGGGTGTGCAGAATCATATCGTCTGCATAATACATTGCTATAAAGAGAATTTACCTCAAATCTGTGCGGAAAGCAGCCCTTATTTTCTGAAATGCGTGGACAGATTTCTAACACAATTTTTTTAAATAGAGACCCCACTGTTTACCACAGCAATGATTTTTCTACATTGTGGTACATTGCTACAATTTAGTTTCTTTAGGCATTGGACTGTCAGTGAAATGATGCTATTTCTTGTTTTTTTTTTTGGTTTTTTTTTTACAAGTTTTTCTGTTTCTGTCTGGATTTTTTGGTTTTCTGTGGGATTTTTTTTCTTCTTGTGTTTCTTGTTTCTCTGTTTATGTGAAAGGTGTTGGAGCACTTTTCCTGCGAAAACAACATAATTCCTGCAAATGACTTAAAGTCAGCGTCTGCCAAATGTCTTGCAAATGATGGCTATTTTTAGCCTACTAGCACAAGTACATTTGAAATCACTGCAAAACTGTTGTTTATATTATTGCAGCCTGTAGTGCCCTATAATAGAAAGCTCACAATCACTAAAGAATTCATACATATAAAAAAAACAAGACATATTGGATTAATATCCACACCTTGATGCACATGCACATAATGCTATAACATGAATAAGTATGTCACTCATTTTCAGCCAAGTTATCAAAGCAAGTTGTGTTAACAGTCATGTCGGTGCATGCTTATGTTTTCTACTTTCCCTCTTAACCCTATTTCCTATTTGGCATGGTGAATAAAGTTTAGATCAGCTGTACAATAGCATATTTAAATATAAAACAGTAATGAAAGATAAACTTATAGAAGGTAGCAATAAGTTCAACAACAAAGTAGAGCATAAAGCATAATAAAATACTCAAATGAAATAACAGCAAAATTTTCGGACCTCACAATCATCACTATTACAGCTGAGCCAAGATTACTATTCTAGTCAACTGTGCCAATAGCTAAAAAAAAAAAAACCCTTACTGTTAGCGCACGGTCGACCGTGCCAATAGAAAAACATTAACTATCTAATGGTGCATGTCGCCGATATAGAGCATTAATTATTGGTGCACGGTCAATGACCGATCGTGTTTATTGTGATAAACACACAATGAAGTAAAGCAATACAATTAATATAGCTTCTATGTGCGTGTTTGAATTAATAATCACTTACAATAGTGGAACCATGACAGCATACATAATAATGTTGCTAACATTTTTTTAGCTACAGCAAATATGTTACAGGCCTACTATAATTTTGACCACCAAAGCCAAACTCGGACAGCATTGTATGACGCAGTCTAATGCGATACCGTATATTATCTAACAATTCCAATGCGACAATCAACTGCATCGGGGTGCGTTGTACGACTATGGAGGAAGGAAGCAGGTGGTACAAAGTTGTCTGCATTGGCCTATATACCACACTGTTCCTCTGTTTACAGTACTAAGTCAATAGATCTCTGCTAGTACAATTGCGTTGATGAATTTGTCACCTTAAAAATCTAGTTGCCATTTTTACACTACTGTTCTTGGTAGCTTTGCAAATATCAGTATTGGTTTGTTTCTTTGATACATTACATTGCTATAGCAATATAATGTATCTTTATTATTGCTAGGCAATACTTTTATTTTCTGGTTATGGGCTTTTATGCTTTTTTAATTATAATTAAAAATTAAATCATTACTATTTCTACTCCTTAAAAATTTTTTGAAAAAAAGTCTGTAAATCAATGAAAAATGAATTGTTACGATCTGTGTCTCATTCAAAATTGATAACAACCTGAATATCTGCCGACTTTCTTGGATACACTGGAAGGATATTAGTAATAAATTTTAGCAAAATAGGACTTTAGAAAAAAGGGAAGGAAACAAGGTTTAATGGAAGCATTTGGCTCAACAGTTGTTGCTCTCATTCTCAACCTTGAGGTCAGGGGTTCAAAACCTCTTCATGAGTAAACTGGGGAGCACTGGTAAACCCCACTACACTGCTTGCACTCTCAATCTTCCACAAATGCAAAGAAAAAAAAATGGGCAGTCGTTTCGTTTGTTTTTTACTTCTACTGTTTTTTGGATGTGAGAAAACAATGCTTTTTCTGACTCATTTGATAAACCTTGTTTCTTATAACTTATCATCATATCATATCGTTTCATATCATTAGTTTTGTCTTCGTAAATACAACGTAACACAATTAGAGAAAATACAATTTACGAATAAAGGAAGCTAGGCAACACCTGATTCCGAAACTGAAGGCATTAAATCTACTGTTGTGGAGCTCCCCAGGATGCTGTCAGCCAAAAGAAATTCTAAATATATACCTGTACACAAAATACAACAAATGTTATGCATCCACCTCTCAAAAAAAAAAAAAAAAAATTCAAAATGAGAATATAATATTTTACCTAATTCTAATTGTCAATTTATAAAATCTATATAGGCTTATTAGTTCTAAAGTTTAAAATGTAATTTTTTGATCATGGTATGCATTTATTTTTTGTTGTTAAAAATACATAAAAGTTTAGAAAAAAAAGAACCCAGAGTAAGTGATCCAACTACTGCTAAAGTGTTAATAGTTCTAATGCTAGTCATCAAGCAATTTTACAGCTAAATCATGAATAATTTCTAAATATGGTCATCATTGAAATATGATACCCCCTCTTTATTAAATGGAATAAACCTGGGCTACTTGTCAAACATAGACAGGTGTAGTGATTTATCTGATGTTTCAATGTAATTAAATGGAAGTGCAAAAAGGAAAGTTCCTATTACATAATGGATGCTATCTACTGTACTGGCAGAGGTCAGTTCTTTTTAACATACTTTAATAGGAATATCATATCGTTTAGCCATGGAGCTGGTATAACAGACTCTATTGTTGATGATCAAGGTCAAAGTGCATCTGACATTTCTTTGAGGGATGAGGGTGGGAATATAGGGTGTTTCATTTCTCCATGCTTGTATAAAGGTATGCCTAGAAAGCATGGTAATACTGTATGATTTTTATTAGGCCTATATATTTCTTATGGTAAACTGAGACTATTAGAGTTTAATTTATATATGTTTGGAATTGCCCTGTACTTGCTGTACATAGTTGGTGGGACAATTTTTTTTTACCAAAACAATAAGATTTCTTCGTTTTTGTTTTTTTTAATGTAAACTATAAGAAATTGTTAGGATAGCATAGAAAGTATATTTATTTATTTCAATACATTGCAAAACTTGAGTGGAAAGGAGGGACTATAAAGCCATAAAGGAAACCAAAGAGGTAGGACATACAACACATTTGGTAACTGCTTATTCATGCATTGATTCTTTGTACTCAAAAAAACAACCAAGTACAGGATAACCGAAAATAACATGAGACTTGTATTCGTTGGGATCCATTAAACATGAATAAAAACACAATATACAAGTCTACAATATAAAAGTTGAAGTAGAATAAAAAATAATAGTATGATTTTAGCAGTGGCAATAAATATTCTGAGAATATCCACATGTTTTTTCTAGTGGCTCCAATACAGCAATTTAGTTTGCTTTTTGTTTATCCTGTCTCTGATTTTTGGTATTGTTATTTCTGTTCATTTTGTATTTGTTGGACGAAATAAATGAAATGAAATTTTTTATATAATAAAAATTCTTAAACTGAGCCAAGCCCTTGTTAAATAAGTGTTGAATAATATAAAGGTAGGCAGGTAGGAG